GATCGATGCCGTTTCTACTGCCATTTAATCAGTATATGCTTGTGTCAGGTACTGCTTCTGGTTAAACGGCGTTAAGTCGAAACCTTTCAGAGCTTGCACTGGTCTGCGCCACGGCTGCGTTCTGTTCCTTACTGCTGTTTGTGTTGTGCATGTGTAGAATAGTTAGACGGTAGGTGTATCTGCATAGGAGATGTTGGTACGAGATGGTTGCTGTTTCCATGTGACCTTGGTTTTGTTGTCATCTTCTGAAACTGATATACAGCGCTCTCTGGAAAGGTTAGCAGTGAATGCGACATGACTGGCATGAGTGTGAACGTATCTAAAACGAAACGCCTAGTGTTTTCTCGCTGTCATGTTCGCTGATCTCTTCAAATAAATGGAGAAGCGGTGAAGAAGCTAAGGTACCTCGGTGTCGTGTTTAATTGTGATGGAAAATTTGAGGAATAGATCGCCCGGTGGATTGGAGTAGTCAGAGGCGTTCTGCGAGAAGTAGCCTTAACCGATTTGACTAAAGCAGAGCTGAGTCTGAAGATTAAGATGTCGATGTTCAAGTCGATCTTTACCCCGGTGCTTATCTACGGTTATAAGTCGTGGACTATGACTGAAAAACATCGATCCCGCATACAAGCTGCTGAAGTGGGCTTTCTGAGACGATTCATTGGCCTTATGCATCACGACTTGGTCCGTAGTACCGAATTCCGCGAGTAACGTAATTTAGAGCCGCTGCTTCTTCAGATTGAGAAGTCACGGGTACCGTTGTTTCGGCGCATGTTGGGAATGTCTCTGGTAGGTAAGGCGAAGCAGTTTATGCTTGCTCAGTCGACCGGCAGAAGACCCAGGCGACCGCCAAGGTTAACCTGGTGAAAACACAGAAAAGGTCTGCTCTAGTATTCAGTTGTCTTCTGGCGGAGTGCAGACTCTGGCCCGGGGTCAGGAACATTGGATACACTGTCTGACGCGTTTGCTTCTGCGATCTGAAAATAGAAACGGTCATGGAAGATGAAACTAAAAAAGGAGACTTGGTTTGAAGATGGGTTGCAAATGGGGACGATCCGCTGTGCAGAAAGCGATCTTCGTCTGGACGTTCTTGCCATTCTGGCTATGAAACTGAAGATAAATTCCCTTCAGCCGCCTTGCACTGAGCGGTTCGTCTTATCAGATATACGAAGCATCAGG